CTTATTTGAGGTTCCGGGCACTTCTTTATTATCCCTTGCCCTTGAGATCATAAACTAGCACAACTTAGGGGTTAACCGAATTACTGCTGACCTGTTCTTGAAGTTCCCTCATCCCCCGTGTACATGCAACCTGTTTAGCAAGGTAGGGAGGGTGTGGCATCGGTTCCAAAGCCCACCTGTCAGAACGTGCCTCAGCAACGCAGCTCTTACTGTATTTCTCGATACCACTCCTGAGGACAATACTGCTGATGATACAAATCCTGCACTACCTTAAGGACCCTACACTATGGGAATTATGGTATATTCCTTATTATGGGTAATGCAGGATTTATATCATCAACCGTAGTTTAGATATTTTCGGGCGAGCTCGCAGTACAAGCCACAGCGCACATAACAATAGAAGGTGTATACAGGCCGAAGGGCCGAAGAGGTGCCTCCAGCCCTTTGACTAGCTACGAGCCTGTGTCTCTGCCACGATTCTTCGGGGACATGAACCTGCCCCTGGTATCTCCGCCGTCTCCTGCAAGCGTTTCCTTCGCCTCTATCCTCAGAACAGGAATTGTTAGGCCCAGGGTTTAATTCTACTATAATTATAATAAGGAACCCCAAAGATAGCATTGGTAATTACTTAGTCCCCTATATTCGGCCCAGGCCCAAACGAAATCCCTCCACAGAATCCTGGACAGAAGCCCTTCTTAGCTGAACTCAGGGCCTCCTGTCCATCTCCAAAGACAGACCTCAGACCTCGCCACGATGAGCTTAGGGTTTAGGGTTGTCGCGGGCAGTCCGGAGATGCACGGACCAAAAAAATCCGAGAGTGCCGGGGTAAGGATGTTGAATGCTGGAGCCCTGAAGGCTAGGCTCAAGTGATAGGTCGTGGGGGCTGAGACCTACAGCGTAGACTCGAGAAGCCCCGAAGTTAAACTGTAAGCCACCAGACACTCCGAACCTCCAAATTAGAGGACCCCAAGGATCCGAACAAGCACTACAAGCACTACTCCCCCCTCCCCCCAGAAAAAACGAAATCAACAAGTGTTTCACCAGCTCACCAGGTTACATAGGGCAAAATCTTGTCTGGTTCAAAGACTCTTTTGGGTGTCGGATCTTTTCATGCATTTGCCAGGTAGGTTTTAGTAACTGCTCAGGTTCGAACTCCTCCTGAGACTATGGGCGAGTGTGGAGTCCCTCCGTTTGGGGAGAGTTTCTACACGTAGCAGTGAGAAGTTTGACCCCCTTCTGCTGAAGGACTCAAACGTCGAACCTAGGATTAATGGACTTGGAAGCCTTCGTGTTTGAGGATGGATTTGCGAAAATCTGCCGTGTGATGGGTTGAATTGCATTATAAGAGATGACACATGTTGACAGTAGCCGAGACTTTTTCTTCTGAATCTCTCCAAGCAAATAGTATGATGGGTTCAAAGTCTGAGCCAGGCCTTAGGCTTGAGTTCAGTGCTTGAAAGTTGCATGCTCGAAGCGTTTCTGAAAGAACCCTAAGTCAAGTCCCAGGCCTTAAGATACATCCGAAATCGGAAAAAATGGAAGCTGCTATCCTGCACCTATCTGGCTCTCCGTGCAGATCCTTGTGCTTGCAAAAGGTTCGGGCTGAAGGTTTACCAGCAAAAAATAACCTCTCGGAACCTGATAGAACCTCTTTGGTAATGGATTCTGCACAACCTGAAACCTCAAATCCCAGCCTTTCCAGCTCCAACTGCAAAGCCTCGAGCACAAAACATCGGAGTTTATGGGCTCAAGAGACGATCACGGCTGGAGCTGCAGCACTGAAGCTCTATCATGGTCTCACTTCATAATCAGCACAGGCTTTTGTTGTGGTCATCCTGTAATGGCGACGAGAGAGGGAGTTCTTCCAAATGCTCTTGCTAAGTCTTCAAGCTCCTTTATGTTCGTCATCTTGTCCTCCACATCCCTCCCCTCTGCGCTGGGCTTGTAATATCTATCTATATCTGTCTATATATACACATAAATAGGTAGATATAGCTATAGCTGCCATGGCGCAGGCGCTCTCCGAGTGCCTCGGGCGCCTGGAGCGCCTGGAGTCGGAGCTGAAAGGCCTGCGAGACTGGGCTTCTTGTTAGGGGGTTTAGGGTTTAAGGTTTAGGGGTTTGACGTTTAGGGTTTAGGGGTTTAGGGATTAGGGATTTAATTTAAGTTACCATAAATAAGGAAGCCATATTATGTATTATAGATCCCTATGTATGGTAACTGAAAAATTTAAATCCCTTAAAAGAAGAGCCCAGGAGATGCCTACGAGACGCAGGTCACTGAGCCCTGGTCCGGCGCGAGCCCCACGGCCCTTATCGTGCCTTCCGAGGCATCAAAACGAAAGGTGCAGCCGGAGGAGGCTCCGAAGCTCACACCCAAACAGGAGACGGGGTTCTTGTTAACTAGGACCCAGAGTAGGCCCTTATCCCCTTTTTTTAGGGTTCAGGTTCCCTTATAAAGTCGTTTAAGGCAAAAAGGGCACCCTTGTTTTTCCTAGGTTTCTCTTGGGTCTAGTTGAGGGTTCAATTTAAGTTAGCATAATAGGGGATCTATAATAAAGAATATGGTTTCCTTATTATGATAACTTAAATCAAATCCCTTAACAAGAACCCAGAGACAGGAGAAAGAGGCTTGGTCTCCGGATGAAAACGAGCCGATCCCCTTCACAGAGTCGACTTGGAACCTGCTCCTAGTCCTGGGCTTCACAAAGGCTGGCTGGATCGATACTGGGTTCTTGTTAAGGGATTTGATTTAAGTTACCATAACAAGGGAACCATATTATTTATTATGCATCCCTATTGTGGTAACTTAAATTAAATCCCTTAACAAGAACCCAGGATATTGTGGTTGGCTGCGGGGTCTTGGTCGGAAGTCTCCTTCTGCAGGCAGGCTTGTGCTACGTGCTTCTAACAGGTGCTTTCCTTGGAAAGCCGTTGGACGGAGAGATCGACACCGCGAGGAGGTGGCGAACCTTCACTGCACATGATTTCAAGCATCTGGACATCACTGAAACGAGCCTCGTGTCGCGCGTTTGCAACGGAGATGGCTCCTTGATCATGTCCACGAAGCAGGCAGACCTCATCTTGCAACTGAACGCCTACCTTGGCATGCAAGCTCATGAGTCGCTAGGTAACGATTTGGGATAATTTTCAAATTGGTTGGTTGGCTTACGTTTTATGATAGAACCCTAACCCTAACCACAAACAGCGTTTTGGCTGCTGAAGCCGACGCCTCGTCCGAGGTTGACTCCGGAGGGCGTCTCTCCGGGGAGTGTGCTCTGTGTCCTTTGTATCGCCTGGTGGTGCCTCTACGTGGCGAGAGAGTACCGGGCCATCTTCTCGTCCTTGGAAGGTCTGGCCTTCTTTTGTCAGTTGTTGAGGGTTTAGGGTTGAGGGTTTGCGGATTTGTGGTTTAGGGTTTAGGGTTGAGGGCTTGGGGTTTAGGGTTGGGGGTTTGGGGTTTAGGGTTTAGGGTTGAGGGTTTGGGGATTTGTGGTTTGGGAGTCTCTTGGTTTTAGGGATTATAGGGCTCTGCTTAAGTATTCAGATGTCTGTCTCTTTCTGATCTGATTCTGTGTTGAAGCTTTGCTAGTCTGCGTGCCGTCGTTATGGAAGCATCGCAACTTTCCCTCAGCCTTATGCTTCGAAGGCCTGTGTCCTCGAAGCCTCTGGTTGGAGACTTCAAGCCATAGCGGCACAGCCAGAACCGAACTCCCTACCCATAGGCCCCTAAGTAGTTCCTTTTTGGGATTAGCTTATAGGGTTCTAAGCATAAACCATAAAAAGGAACTGCTTAAGGGCCTATGGGTATACCTGACCCTAAACCCTAAACCCCTAAACCCCTAAACCCTAAACCCCTAAACCCTAAACCCCAAACCCCTAAACGAAGAAGGCTTGTGGAATGTGCCTCGGGGGCCCTCCAACCTGGAGCTGGGAACCCTTCGGTCGGTGTCGCTTCCACGGTTTCTTCTTTTCTGCGCACTGCGTCTCTTGAAGGCTACTGGGCAGGCTCTTTTGCGTTTTAGGGTTGTCAGCGGTTTAGGGGTTTAGGGGTTTAGCGTTTAGGGTGTAGGGGTTAGGTCGCTTAGTATTGCTTTTCAGTGGGGTTCTTGCACGCAGCGAGCCAGGCGAGGGTAGAAGGAGCTGGGGCGTTTGCAATCGGACGGCTCTGGAACCCTAAACCTTAAACCCTAAACCCTAAACCAGGCTGTGATTTCAAGCCTCTTGCTCGTCGCCGGCATCCAGTGGCTGGTGAATGCCGTTGCCATAAGGAGCATCGTTTTACGGGCTGTCGCCATAAAAACTTTGTTCGAGCTCGATGCCGTGTTCTATGCGGCTTTCATGCCAAAGCGGCTCCAGGTTAGCATGAAAAAGCTAAAGCCCCTGCAGTTTCGCAACTCGGTGTGCCGAAGCCAAATTGAATCCCTTCTCCTGCTGCTCTTTTCCTGGTCGGGGTGACGATGGGAACCTGGCATCAGCTAGTTGACCCCATTGCTGAGACCATGGAACGCATCAAGGCCGAGTACTGCGGGGGAAACCAGAACTTCGTGGTCGGCGTAAATGATCATCACGGCTTGGCAGTCGCACGGTCGAGTATGCCCTATGACCCAACCCGAGCTGAAGACGAGATCGCTACTGCGGTGTATGACTACGCCTTCAAGTCGAACGAGAGCAACCTTATCTTATTCCACACCTCACCTCGCAGCTTTGAGAAGACGCGAGTGGAAACCATGGCTACGGCCACCACTTCCACCTTGCAGTGCGCCAATTTCGACGGGTGGTTCCTTCGCGGGGAAAACGAACCGATCCCCGACACCTACGGACCCTACTATTGGTCCGCGGCTCTGTCCGTTGGTATGCCTCCAAACAGCACATGTGAGGAGCCATGGAACCATCAAGCGTCATCCTGATATGTGTGTAATTGCTCGTGCTATCGGTGATTGTTTATTCTGTTGAGTACGGGGTTGGGCAATCTACAGCACATTGCCGCAGAATGGCTTGTCAGTATGCTGATCATGTGTTGCTCATTTTTCTTTCGCATGTGTCAGGACATGGCAAGTCATTGCACAGATGTCGATGCCCAGCTCCTTCGCATGGTCTGCGGTGTGACTTGCGGCTGCGTCGAGCCACAGGCACATCCTACCATGAGATACCCTCTACATCACATCGAACACTCACGTTGGTGCGAAAATGCACACACGAGAATTGTCAATGCCGCAATGACTTCCGAAACATGAAGCTATCCAACCGCAGTTCCATCTAGTTCTCCTCGACAGTAATACCGTTTTATGCAGCAACGTGAAACCGGGTCCATGTCGTTTTGAACACATGGACTTTTTAATGCGCAGAAGTTGCTAAACCTAAAGACGTCTCATGCTGTTGGTGTTTACAGCAAGTGCATGTACAAATTGAAAACAAGACCTCGAAGCAGCTACCCATGGGCAACACCGGGAAGAGACCAAAACACGATTCTAGCGGCGAAGCTTTGTTCAACAACACGGTTGCACAGTCCTTTGCAAACAGGCGGTAGTTACAGCAAATCTAGACAAGGTTGCGGACACATGCGTGACAAGCAATACGACGAAGACCAATTCGGTATTAGCTCAAGTGTGACCGTTCAACTGTACACTGCATGATTTCAGCTGAAGGTCATTCGATACTGTAAGAGAGTCGAACATGTGTTGTTCAAGTGTGAACTGGCAAACTGACCGAGATGTTGGCTTTGGAAGATACGAGCCTCTGCAAAAACGAGTCGCAGCATCTGAGCCCAAGGGGTTTCATTGTAAAGCACGCGCACATCCCAACACTCAAGCACTTCCGAAGGGATTGGGATAGAAGGGAATGAGTCAACAAGATGCCGTACAGTTGGCCAGGTATTCCAGGAGGACTTCGCACAACCATTTAGGACACTCATGACTTAACCTGTCGCGGATTGCCTACCGCAGACAGGCGATGTTGACCTTAAGCGCGATTGTCCGATTGGGCTGTCTACTAGATTAAGCACGGCTTGTCGACGCTAAGCCTGCGCCAGCTCCTTTTCAAAAAACACACTAAAGATTAGCAAGCACAACGAGCAAGCTTATGCCTAGTAGTGGTAAGTAATGGGGAGCCAGAAAAAGTGACCTTCGATACGTTGCATACAAGCACGGCACGATGCCGTCTTTACTTCACAGCCCAAGAGCCCAGAGCCTGAAGATCACATACCTTTGCAGGCCAATCCGCTGTACAAAGTGCGGGCACAAGGATGCTTGAAGACATGCACCTCGACTAGGATCAGCAAGCAGGTGATGTTTTGAGTTTCAGACCTCGGGTTTAGATAAGCTTGAGTTCGTCATTGTGAAATGCGCCAGCCTTGGTTTTAAGCAAGTCTTGACTCAATGTCTTAATCCTAGGTCTGCAAGGCTTGTACCGCCTGTCGTGAACTTTGCGTAGGCAAAATTCCTGCGGGAACGAATGCTTGACTTGCTCATCCCAACACTTTCTAGGAGACTTTCGAACGATAAATCATAAACCCTAAACCCTAAATACCCTAAACCCTATAAGCCCTAACCCCTAATAGGGTTACTAGGGATCCCAGAGTTACTACATTGGTCCGGATAAGAAACGGAGGTCTCAACGAGCAGCCGATCTGGGTCGTTGATGAACCCTGCGAAGACGTAAGCGCAGACTTTGAAGCTTGGCAATCTTTCTGGGACATGAACCTTGGACTCTTCACAAGACCATTCCTGTTGTTTGGACGTATGTAGTACGGCACAACATAGTAGCTTCGTATCACAACTTGTGTAGTAACACAATATAAAGGATTCAACTTGGCACAGGATAACCTACAATAGCATATTACAGTGCAACATGACAGAGATACGTGACACAACATGATGTGTTAGAATATCATGCAATGTAGTTCAGTGTATTGAAATATACGGGACTATACTACACTTCACTGCACTATGCTATACTACATACACTGCATTATTCTATACAGTACTGTATTAGATTGTACTGTAAGTAAACATTGGTATCTACGCACAGGGGGAAGTTGGATATATTTCAAGATACAAGATAACATGCAGTATAGTATCTTGCAGAAGTATAGTATCTAATCGAACAAAATATTCAGAATCATACATGACGCAGTTCACGGTTCATGTATGTGTATACAGATAGACAGTTAGATGGATAGATAGGTAGGTAGGTAGGTAGGTAGATAGCGAGATGGATAGATACTGACATAGATAGATACATAGATAGGTAGATAGATAGACGATGTTAGTTCAGAAGTTTCGTTTGGTGTAGAACATGTAAGAAGATTCAATATGGCATGATGCAGTACATGGTTATAGAGCATCATATTAAAGCCTAGTTCGTCATAACAGAAGTGAACATAACATGGCATAGTGTTTCATATTGTAACCACATAACAACGTAACATAGTATAGCATAAACTAGCCAAGTTTGACATAGCATACCATGACATGACGCAACATAACGTAGAAAGACAACCAGAATGCTTTGTAGTGCAGTGTAGTATCATATGACATAGGTCAATACAACATAGGTCAATACCCCATAGTAGAAGAAAAAAAGGTTGACGATATAGGGCGATGCGCCATAGTAGGATACAACATAGAGTGGCACAGACCGACGAGTAAATTGAAATGAAGCAAAGTGCAGTACAGTGCATGTAGTACAATGCAGTACCGTACAGTACAGTATAGTATAGTTCAATATCATATACCATCGCAAAGTCTAGGATCGTATAGTATAGTACGTTTCCTATCGTATCGCATGGCATGGTATGGTATGTTATAGCATAGCATCAGAGTGTAGAGCGAGTAGCCTAGAGTCGAGATAATGTATAGTGCAGTGTAAAAAGTTAGCGCAACATATTGAAGAAGTCAGCATCAGACAATACCACAGCAGATCACAGCATAGCATAGCACTGCATAGCAGAGCGTAACATAGCATAGCACAGCCATATGCGTATGCTAACAGGATGTACTTGTGGCGTTGTCCCTCCAGCCATGTCGAGGTCCCTAATATAGTACCCCAAATAGTAGGATCCTCATTATAAGGACCCCAAATAGTAGGATCCTCATTATAAGGACCCCAAAATAAGATACCCTTCAGCCATGGCAGCTCTTTTCGGCGCCACGCCCGAACAGATCTTCAACCTCGGAGAGGTGGCACAAAGCATGAAGGAAGCGGGCTGCAACTATTTGGCTGAGGTCACTCATGAGGTGGGCGGGTTTGTTCCCAAACTTGCTGAGATTGGCCTGCGCTTGCGCTTGTCAGTTGAATGCTGATCAGAATGTCTGCCTTGCTATATACTCCCATAGGTCCTCACTGATGTGCGATACTGTGATGGACATCTTCTACTTTTCTCTCCACTGAGCCTTCTTTGCCCCCGAACTTGCTGCACTGGCAGCAGCATTTTCTGCCCGTCGAGCTGCGGCGCTTAAAGCACCTTTGAAAAAACTCAGAAACTTCTCGTCAATTTATGAGTAAATGATCAACGAACCTTAAGTCATAATCTTGAACGATTTATGTGACACTGTATATTCGTTGTATTCGGATAGTCTCCCTGAGAAAGTCTGACGTCACGGTTTGCTATTCATTGTCTCTTGTTGACGTTTGGTGTGCCTGGCAACTAGTTACCCCTTGTCGGATTTCTTTCCTAAGTGTCTGCCTCCTTTGCTTTTGTTCGGTTCATTTTGTGATTGCTATCGACTAGGTGCTTGGAATTTGAGGGTCTTGGTTATGGTTTGGGGTCTGGCATTCTTACAGGTCTTTGCTTGGCAGGAGGGAAGTTGGGCTGCTGACTATAAATGTCGTTCTATTTCAGAGCCTATTACATTAATATACTCAAATCAACATAGCTGAAATAATTATCGATTCTAATTAAAGATATCGTAGTACGAATACCTGAATGATTAGTTTTATCAAGATAACGAAAGTAACTCAAATTGTACTAATAAATTTTCAAGAATGTATCCTCTTTTTATAGAACTAGTTTAGATATTTCGATAATTTATTAAGATATTTTTGTCACAAGAACACAAATTCTCCAATAAAACGGTGTCGTGCTGGTCGCCTCCGTTTTTTTGTGTGCGCCCCGTCCTTTGGCGCGTTACCTTTTGAAAGCCGCGTGCCTGTCTCGCGGTACTAAACTTTCGGAAATTTTAGTACCGGGAGCACTTCTTTCCCGGTACTAAAATTTCCGAAATTTTGGTAGCTTTAGGAAAGTCGCGGTATTAAAATTTCGGAAATTCTGGTAGCTTGAGGAGGACAAGCTCCCGGTAATAACATTTCCGAAATTTTCGGTAGGCATGCTCGCGGTCACAAAATGTCGGAATTTTTGGGACATGCTCGCGGTAATAAAATTTCCGCAATCTTGGTACCGGGAGCATGTCCCAAAAAAGAGGCTTTGAAGACCGATTTCAAGGCCACTCGAAAAGCACGCAAGAGGCCCGCAAGAGGACGCGCATCAGGGTTTGAGTGCCGAAATTTCAGTGCCGCGAGACAGGCACGCAAGACACTTTCAACAGGAAGCGCGTCAGGATCTTGGTAGCGTTCTCACTCGAACACGTCCCCGAAAACTTATTGGATTAGAAGCACATGTTGTGGATCTTGGTAGCGTTCTCACTCAAACATGTTTCTATAGTTTATCCTTATCAAAATGCGTCCAAACCTTATTGGATTAGAAGCACATGTTATGTCGTGCCGCAGTTTTCCAGCTACGGTTTCATCGTTGCAAGCACGATTATCCTGCTGTTGTCAAATATTTCCATTTTTATCCTTTCCAAACCTTTCGTTCTCACTGTGACACGTCCTTTATAGTCTCGCTATCCTTATCAAACTACGTCCAAAGCTTTTGCGCTCACTTAAAGCCGTTCCCATACACTCATTGCAACACTCCCGACTTCTGTAGCATCAGCAACCTCCGCTGTCGCTTGCTGATGGAGCAAGCGGCCCACTCAGAACATGTTTGTATTTGTAAATTGGTTGCAGCAGCTTTGTTCGTGTGCATCGCTCTGTCAGATTGTTCGTTCAGATATTTTCCTTCCAGGCCGATGTGTCGCCATGAGCTTGTTGTTCTTGCCTGGCTGCTGTCTCCTCTGTGGAGGTGTTGCAGGCTCTGGAAGTCTTATCCTTAAACAGAGCAGTGTTGTCCACGGGATAATGGACGGCATCAAGGCAGAGCACAAAAGCTGAAAAGTCTGTCTGTCTGAGTCTGACTGTCTCTCTGTGTGTCTGTCTGTCTGCCTGTGTGTGTCTGTCTGTCTGTCTGTGTCTGTTTGTTTGTGGTCCGTCTGTCTGTGTCCGTCTGTTTGTGTCTGTCTGTTTGTGTCTGTCTGTCCGTGTCTGTCTGTCTCGGTCTGTCGGTCTGTCTGTCTGTCTGTCTGTCTGTCTGTGTGTCTGTCTGTCTGTCTGTCTGTCTGTCTGTCTGTCTGTCTGTCTGTCTGTCTGTCTGTGCGTGTATGTATATATATATATCTGTGTGTGTGTGTGTGTTTGTGTGGGTATGCGTATTTGTTTGTATCTATATCTGTTTGTGTCTATGTGTGTCTCGCTGCTTGTGTGGGCTTGTATATGCTGAAGAGGTGTGTGTGTGGGTGTGTGTGTGTGGGGGTGTTTGTCTGTCTGTCTGTCCGTCCGTCCGTCCGTCTGTCTGTTTGTCTTCTGCGTGTCATATGGGTCTGTCTGTCTGTCTGTCTTCTGTCTGTCTGTCTGTCTGTCTGTCTGTATCTGCCTATTTGTCTCTTGTTTGTCTGTCTGTATGCTTGCTTGTGTGTTTGTCTGTCTGCATCTGTTTCTGTCTATGTCTGTCTGTTCGTCTGTGTGTTGTCTGTCTGTGTGTTTGTTTGTTTGTTTGTCTGTCTGTCTATCTGTTAGTTTTTTTTGTGTTTGTTTGTATTTATGTCTCCGTATTTGCGAGTAATTGTGCGGCTGTGTTGTGGTAAATCTTGGAGTGACGAAATAATTTGAAATTGGTGTCTTCATTGGTGGATCTAATTAAATAAGGCACTTTCGATGAACAGTATGTTAGGATTTAGTAGTACGAGGTCTGGGGTCGTTTTCTGTAAATATATATTTCTAAATATAAAGGTATTTTCTTGGACTATATATTTATCGCAATATTTATTATGATAATAAGAATTATTTTGGTTATGAGATAAATAAGTAACGATACTCTTTTAATTATATAATTTAATATATATGATTTGTTATGTCGTAATTTTCTAGATTTATTTTTATTATTAGAAATACGATTATTTAAAAAAAAATATTCGAAGCTTTCGTTCTTTTTTTATATTTATTAAAATGCATCTGAAAATTTTATTGATAAGATATAAATATTCCAATACTTTTATATTTCTTTTTTGGTTCTTTTTAGATATTCTTATTTTAATCCAAAATTCGTTCAAAGCTTTTCATTCTAAAGAAAACTTATCTTATATATTCCTATTGGTCTTATTAAAATACGTTCAAAATTTTGGCGCTCATTTATTATCGTTGTTATATAATTATTGCAAGATTATAAGATGTCGCGACTTCTGTAGTATTAGTAACTTGTGATGTCGCTTATTGATATTTGTGGGTCTGTCTGTCTGTCTCTTTTAATTTGTAGTCGTTTGTTTATTTATATTTATCTGTTAGGGTCCGTCTATTTATGCCTGTCTTTATGGATTTATCTATTTGCTCTGTCTAGGTTTGATTATTTAACTATCTGTCTCTGTCTTTCTTTCTATTTATCTCTGTTATCTCTCTATTTATCTATATTTACATCTCTCTGTCTAAGAGAGATTATCTGTCTATTTTCTGATAAATATATCAATAATAAAATGATTTTTGTTCTTTTTCTTAGCTACTGGAAGTGGCGGATCCAATCTAATATTTTGATTTTCTTTTGAAATATAATTTCAATTCTAATGGAAATATCTGATAAAGAAATTTCCTTATATTCTTAATAATAATGATTTTTGAAAGATTGGATTGAATTGAGAATATTAGTTGTAGTCGTTTAGGTCCTTCTTGTTTCCAATCGACGGGCAATTCTGAAAATATAATGAATTTTGATCTTCTTGATATTCTTTATTTTTTGATTTATGAATTGGTATTTTATGAATATTTGTATTTTTATTTTTCTTGAGAAAATTCTTGATATGATATAAAATTATTTTGACATGGCTTATTTGTCTTGTCATTCTATATGAAAGGCTCGAGATGGGGAGCCTAATCTTCTGTAGGCCAAGGCGTCGAGAGCGCAGGAGAGCGGAGGAATTCGTATTCTGTTGTGCCTGTCGCGCGCTATAATCGGAAGGACATGAGATTTATATAAAGCAAGCAAAACCTATAAAATCGTCTTTTTGTGGAGGTCACAAGGATTCAGTTATTGCACCTTCCAGACCTCCTGCCTCATTTCTTATTCCCCTCATCTCCCTCCCTCCCCCCGTCTCTTCGCCTCTCTTCTTGCGCTCCCTCCTCTCCCTCTCCCTTCCCTGCTAAGGCGTCGCTGAGCTCGGTCAAACGGGCCTTGCCGTCGTTTTGTAGGTAGGACAGGAGTTAGAGATGTTTCTTGCGACGAGGAAGTCGCTACTCCCCGCCGCAGGCAAACCAGAACCAACGCCGGGGAGGTAGGAAATTGCACAAACACAAAGGAATAATTTATAGAAGGGAGAGGGTATTGTACAAGGAGTGCCACGAGCGCTTGGGATCAAGATCATATTAGATAAGATAGACATATATTTCGCCGATTCGTTGGATATTGCGCCCGACATGGCTCCCTCGAATCCAATGATATTGACCTCGGAAATATAAAGATTACAGATAGCAAAAATTTTTAGATTGGATTTATATTTAAAATATTTCGAAATCTATAATTAAAATAGACTAGAAATCATAAATAATAAGCCAAAATTTTCCGATAGTGAAAAACGAATAATGAAAAATAATCGAGAAATTAGATACTGCTCTAAAGAATATATATATATATAATTCTTGATAATTAATAGGATAAATTCAGAATCAAATTATAATCTATTATCAGATCGAAATCTTAATATATATTTTTTAATTTAATTCGAATCGCCGGATAATGGAATTCTCAGATTCCGATCAAGATTTTTAATAAATTCTATGATACTATATTAATCTAAATCTAAAATTAGATCTCAATATATCAATCTATTTTCTTTCAAATATATTAACCTAATTCTTGAGATTAATATTATTAGAAATCGGATCTTTTAATTCCTTAAGTATACTCATAATATGGATTTGTCGTATAATTTTTCTTATTTGGTTAGAGGTTAGGTTTGATTTCCGCTTATATTTGTGTATATTTAATTGCAATAATTATAATACAATAACAAGATAAGAAAAATCGGCAAATGTTAATATTTTGAGATTTGATTATATAATTATTTCTCTCAAATATTTTATATAGAAAATTTCATAA